CCCCAAGGGGTCCCAGACTGCGAGAGAGCACAGGCCGGGCTGAGGGACCCCCCACCCCGAGTGCACAAATTTTTGTGCACCAGGCCTCTAATATATATATATATATATATATATATATATATATATATATATATATATATATATATATATATTTATATGGCTAATATGCAAAGTGTCCCCACAGGAGTTGGACCAGGAGACTGGGAGTTCAATTGCTCACTATAACATGAACTGACCACCAGGGGACAGCACAGAACAAAGGAAGGCCCTGGTTTGCAGCCAGCAGCCGGGGATGGAAAGCCCTGGCCAGCAGCCGGAAGGCTCCAATTGGCCCTGATCGCCCGCCAGGCCTAGGGACCCTACCTGTGCACTAATTTCATGCACCAGACCTCTAGTCGGTATATAATATCTATTCAAAAAAGGGAGCAGTAAGTGAAAGTAAATCAGGCATGACAAGAAATAGAGCTAGGGCACAGATGAGGCAAGTGAGGCACCCTAGGCCCAAAATTTAAGGAAGCACATATAGTCAGGACCCTGAGAATGAGTATTTCTTCAACTTTTATGCCTAAGGCACCTCACTGTTCTCAATCCAGATCAGAACCTTCAGAAAAAAAATAGACCATTTCACTTTTCTTTTGAAAGAAATTTGCCTATAAAACCTCAGAACTCTATTGCTATATTGTGTAGTAATTTTATAATTAATTGCAGATACAATAAATGGTCTTCGAAGAAATGTCAAGAAATATAGAGTTATACAAGTTAAAAAGTGAGGTTCTCTCAACCGCACAATTCTCTTCTTATGTATATACCCAAGAGAATTGAAAACAAAACTTGTACATGAGGGTGACTTGTGGTACTATTCTTAATAGCCAAAAAATAGAAACAAACCAATTCATAAATAGATAAACAATGTGGTATGTATGTTCATATAATGGCATAGTATTCACCCCTAAAAAGGAATAAAGTTCTGATACATCTACATGGATGAATCTTGAAAACACAGGCTAAGTGACAGAAGGAAGATCAAAGGCCACATATTGCATGACTCTATTTACATGAACTGTCCAAAGAAAGAAAGTAGTTTAGTGACTGCCAGGGCATATGGGGTGGGAGGAGGGAAATTGGAAGTGACTCCTGAGACATGGGATTTCTTGTTGAGGTGATAAAAATGTTCTGGAACTAAATAGTGAGGATGGTTGCACAACGCTGTGAATATACCAAAAACCACTAAACTGTACATTTTTTAGTGGTATAGTATAGGACATAGGAAATATATCTCAATAATAATAATTTAAAAGCAAAAAAAAAGCAAAGCTCTATCCATCTTTCCTTTTACATCTAGCATTTATAGAATACCTATTATGTACATGGCACATTTGTAAATTTTTTACTTCTTTAGCTCCTCATTACTTCATTTAATCCTCAAAACAACCCAGAGGCATTTTTTAAAGATAAATTCAGGCAACTAGGGGATTATGTAATTTGCCCCAAACCCTACAGCTCAGTGGTTCTCAACCTTGGCTGCACATTAGAATCCCAAACTGTGCCACATCTTTGTTATGGGGTGGGGCCACAACATTAATAACAAAAAAACAGAATTTCCAGAGGATGAGGCCCAGAAATCAGGATTTTTAAAAAGATTCCCAGGTGATTCTAAAGTGCAGCCAAGGTTGAGAACCACTGCTATAGCTAGTGAGTGCCAGAGGTGGGCTTATAAAATCAGTCTGTCTTCACAGCTCAGGATGCCAAATCAGGCCCACTTAATGATTGCTAATTACTAATAAGGAATCATTAAAACTAGGAGCATATACTTCCAGATAATTTTAATTGAGGAAGTGCAGGTGCAAATGTGTGTGTGTGTGTGTGTGTGTGTGCGCACGCGCACACGCGCTTGTGTGGATAGATAAAAATTACACACATGGGATTATATAGGGGTCAGAAAGCTACAGCTCATAAGCCAAATCAGGCCCATTTTTTGTTTATATACATAGCTCATGAGCTAAGTATGGAAAAATGGATTATATATTTTTAAATGATCAAGAAAGAAGGGAATCAAAAGAAGTAGTATTTGATGACACATTAAAAGTATACAAAATTCAAATTTCAGTGTCCATCAATAAAGTTTTATTAGAATACAGCCATCCTCATTTAGTTAAGTCTCTGTGGCTGCTTCAACACTGTAAAAGCAAAGCTGAGTAGTGGTGACAGACAGTATGATCCTGTAAAGTATTAAATATTTCTATCAGGCCCCTTTACAGAAAATTTTTGCTGACCCTTGGGTTTTATCGTACATGATACTCTAAAATTTTCTTTAGTCATTAAGCTTTATATTATGTTCAACCTTCCAGGTTTCCTAAAGATGACTGCAAAATAAAAATGCACCCAGCATTATTAAACCTTTCCCCTACTGATGAAAATGTCATATCCATAACCAAATTGCTTTCAAAATGGTTGCATTAATTTCTTTCCTAATGGAATGTACCTGGGTTATGAGAAGTTTCACAGCTGTCTCACCTGAATGTAGGCTGTTCCCTCAGCCGCTTGGTAGCCACCGGACATTGATGCTGAGTCCTGAGCTGAGCCACTGTTTTGGGCTGCACAATTGGGTCAATGTTTTATAGATTGGATAGAGGAACGGATGTCTCATTCTTCTCAACTAACCTACTTCCCTAGCTTGGGCCTATTACACAGAAACTTCTGTTATTTAATAAGTCGTGAGAAAAGTGGAAGAAGAGCTACTACTCTTTTTTTGTCCCGCTATAATGGATATTGTGATGGGCCACTGATCCTTCCCCATTCCATGTTAAAACATTCATTTCCCCTTTGTTGTCAGTTCATGACTTTCAGCTGTTTCTCTCTTTGGGAATTACCTTCAGCTGAATAAAGCCATCTTGCCTAAAGTTATTTCCCCTTTCAATAGGCAAAACCATCCAATAACCAGTCAATGCAGGTATAAAAAAAGCACATCCACCTCGACTTAAGGCAGGACAATTATAAAAAGCCATCCGGGCTCCAGAGATCCCTGTAGAATCAACTACAATGCAGTTAAACATAATCATAGCAAGACTGATACCCAATTCTTCTCACAGCCCAAAGTTGACAACTACAAAAGTAGGTAACAGGTGACAGACAATTGGAAACAGAGAGCAACAAGCAATCACACCATTTTCCGTCTTTATGCTCTAGAATGCACAGAGGGGATGTTTTGGACTGAATGTCTTCGTCCCCCTAAAATTCATAGGTTAAATCCTAATGATCAGTGTGCTAGTATTAGGAGATGGGGGCTTTGGTAGGTGATTAGGTCATTAGGGCAGAACCCTCATGAATGGAATTAGTGCCCTTATAAGAGATTTCAGAGAGCTCCCTTGTCTCTTATGCCATCTTGGGACACATTGAGAAGACAGAGTCTGTGAACCAGAAAGTGGGCCCTCACCAGACACTGAAAGTGCCAGAACCTTGACCTTGAACTTTCCAGCTTCCAGAACTATGAAAACTAAATGTTTGCTGTTTACACCACACAGAGTATGATATTCTGTTATAGCAGCCCAAAGTGACTAAGAAAGGAGAGAACATCCATTTTGCCTACTAAAGGCATTAAGTGTGGCCATGCAGGTAACACGGAAGGACAATAGGAAAGAGCCTCCAGAAATTGGCAACTCAGGATCGCAGCTACCAAACTGGAACTCTACTCAGATCTGGCCCCAGGCATCCAACGATTCAAGAGTTGCCTTCATCCTGCTAGTATGCGGCTAAGAAAGAAGGGAAGCCTGTTGTTAGCCCCACCACATTCTTTTCTCCTAGAGAGAGAGAGAACCATCCTCTGACAGTTTCTTAGAAGAACAGTTTGAACCAGAGACTCAATAGGAAGCTGAACTAGATGGGGTCAGGCACGGACCAACATTGGAAAGCTCCGTGCAGAAGCAATAGCCAAGATTAGACTGTTCCACTCCTGTCAGAGTGAATGCCACTTGATGCTGGGCATCCATTCCTCTGGGGGGTTCTCTTCTGTGAACCAGCACTCAGGTTAAAGACCCTGCATACTACAGAAAAAAACAACAAGGAAAGAGTGACTTTCTCTAAACTTCTGGAAAGAAAGTTCTAATGTGTCCCAAAATGTTACAGGGGAAGAACCTGGGACTGGAGGTGAAGGGGGTGACTTTGGAATGTAGACTCTGGGGATGTAATCACTGACTTGATGGGTCTTTTTTAGCTTCTGAAGCCTATGGTTTTGCAAACTCAGAACTATTAATACTATTAATATGACAGTCTGGTCCAAAAACCAAGCTCAAACATTTAACACCATGACCTTCAGAACCAGTGAATTCCAGAGGAGCTGAATACTCAGGAATAAATATTTCCCTTACCATTTTTTATAAATCTGTTGAATATAAACTTTATAGTAGTTTTATTAAGTCTGGAGAGAGAGAGAGAGAGAGAGAGAGAGAGAGAGAGAGAGAGAGAGAGAGAGAGAGAGAGATGAGGAAAAGAAAGGGGGGGACAAAAGGGCAAAAAAAAAGAAGAAAAATACAGTTTTTAAAAAAAACACATCCCCAAATCTTTTTCAGAGAGTGGACCATGGACTACATTCCAGGGGGCAATTTGTTTTGTTTTATAAACCATAAATGAGACCTAACAAAGAAGAAAAGAAAAATGACTGAAACATACTATTTGTGATTCTATTAGGCATTGCACATAGCATAGAGCACAGAGAGGAGGAGATTTAGAGACTATGCTCAATACTTTATGAACATAAAGTACCAATGATTCCAGTCCAAAGGAAGAGATCACTAGCTTCCTCAGACTGTACTCCATGAATTACTCACACCAGTTTCTGCAGGGATGCAGGAATTATTGCAAATGGTTAGGTTCTATAAGCATATTGGCAAAGCTTAACTTTACACATAAGAAAAAAATATTTCAAGGTCCGTAGAACATCCCCTCTTTTAAATATTTACTTCCCAACCTTTTCTCTTATGAAAAGGGGGAGCCCCCCAGCTCACCTGCATCAAACCCCGCACTTGGCACTATGCCCACAGTTCCGTGGAAGGCTCCGGCCCACGCTGAGGTAGCAGTGCTGACTGTCGTCGGATCTGCCTTTGTGACGTCACACTGGGGAGCAGGGATCCTGGCTGCTCGCACTGATGGCATCAGCAGGGGCCCGTAGGGTGAATCCGGGGCAGAGCCAGCAGAAGGGTGGTGGTGGTGATGGTGGTGGTGGTGGTGCCGGTGGTGCATGTGAGCGTGGGGGTGGTGGTGCCGCAGGTACACATCATGCATGTGGCTGTAGGATGGGCTCACCTGAGATGCCAAAGGGTAGTGCCAAGACTCAGACACAGGAGGGGGAGGGGCTGGGCCAGTCTGGTGCAGGCCATGTCCCGGCCAGGGACTGGGGTCGGCTGTGGTAAAGGTGCCAGGGGGTGCAGTGACCTGGAAATCAGGATGAACTCCCCCCAAACAGGGTGCAGGGGGCTGGTAAGAGCTGGTCCAAAAGGAAGTCGGGAAGCTACTCCTCTGACTTGCGAGAGCTGAGCTGTCTGAGAAGACAGAAAAATAAATTATTTACATAAGATTCCATTCTGGGAGAGACTTGCCTCCACACGTCCAATATTTTATAGCAGCCTAATCAGGATGCACTTTCAGTCCCCACACAGAGGTGGGCTGAGACTAGGTGAGCCTCTGAGCTCCCAGGCCAAGTCAACCGCAGGGTTCACCGTGTTGAGCCCCCCGCCCTAGTCTGTGCACTTTATTCAGCCACAATGTATATTAAGGTCTCCAAGTTGGGATTGAAAAGCTTCATTTCCTCCTGAGTGACTTGCTGCCACCAAGTCTGAGCAAAGATCCTAGGTCCTTAGTCCTAGGTAAAGAAAACGTATGCCATAGAGGATGTTAGAGTAGGTTGGAAATGATGATGCTCACTAACTTCCTTTAAATGCAAATATAATTTCCATTCAAACTAAACATTTTAATGCTGAAAGAAACAAATGGAAACAAGGTTGCATTTAATTATGCTCACTGACACTCATTTTCCATCAGAAAGAGTATTCTAAGCTTATTTTTTTCTTGTGGAGTTCTGAGAGCCTATAAGAATAATAGCTAACACTTAAGGATAGTGACCAAATGCCCAACAGTTTCCACGGATGATCTTAACGAATCCTCCCTTCAGGTAGTTATTGTTATCTTGTTGTTACTGTTACTCCCATTTATCCATGTGAAAATCGAGGCAGGTAAGAAGCCCAAGACTTCACAGCTGGCCAGTTGGAAAACGAGCTTCAAAACAGGTTAGCCTGCCTCCTGGATGGCCAGCAGTCTTCATAACTGTGCCACAAGAGGGCACACTTGTCACTATAACCTGAACATTAGATTTTGGTGAAGATCCTGTGGAAATCAAGAGATTTAAGGAGGAATGATGGATTTGAGAAGGTGTTGGGAAGGGGAAATAATAGTGATAACCTTCCCCGGCTCCGCTTCGATTCACTTTCTCCACTCAATCCTCGTAACATATTTATGGAAGACCTACTATGTACCAAACACAGATGGTCAAGAGATGTCATTTTTAATCACAACCTGATAGAGGACAGACAATAAATCGCACGTGCAATGTGACATGGTAGGTGCTCTCATAAAGGAAAGCACAGAGTGAGGGCCCGGAGGCCTAAGAAAGAGAGAGCTAAATTGAAAGGAAGAGTGAGGCTAGCCTTGGGAAGAAGTAGTGAAGAGTGTTTTAGACAAATAAAAAATTATGTGAAAAAAAGATAAAAAATTACACACACACACACACACACACACACAGACACACATACACACTATACATGCAAAGTGCCATTTGAAGGATTAAAAAGAGATCTGTGGGCAAAAGGTGGAAAAAATTTAGACGAGGATCCAAGAAAGGCACAGATGGGTATGACCTTGCCAACCATGTACTGAATATGGGTGCTGTCCTGAGAAGATCACTGAGCTTTGAAAGGTTTTAATCTGGAGAGTGATATAGTCGGATCTCCATTTGGAAGACTTACACTACCAGTGGGAGCCTGTGGCCCATGGTGTGGTGGGAATGAGTGAGCACTGGATTGGGAGTCTAGAGAGCTCAGTCAGAAAACTAGCACTCAGTTCTTATCCTGTCTCATTTTTATTTGTTTTTGTTGTTGTTAATTCTCACCTGAGGATAGTTTTTTTTCCATTGATTTTTAGAGAGAGTGGAAAGGAGGTAGGGAGACAGAGAGAGAAACATTGATGTGAAAATGACACATGGATTGGTTGCCTCCTGCATGTGCCCCTCCTGGGGCCAAGGATCAAGCCTACAACCGAGGTATGTGCCCTTGACCAGAATCGAACCCAAGGCCCTTTAGTTCATAGGTTAACACTAACCACTGAGCAAAACTGACTAGGGCAATCCTATCTCATTTTATGACCCCAAAAGGAACTGTTGACCTCTCTGTGGCTCAGTCTTCTACTAAAGTCTGAGGCACTTGAACGAAAATTCTAAATATCTTCTGACTCCATACTTCTATCATTCTGTAAAGTGGCCTATAAATTATTTCTATCTATAGATTAAGATAAGGTTGCTTAGAATATTAGTCATGCTTGTAAAGTAAGACAGTATTTTTATACTAGGTCCACACACACACACACACACACACACATACACACACACATACAAAAAACAAACAAACAAAAAAACAAAACAAAACAAACAAACAAAAAACTTGCAAGATCTTTCCATTGAATAAAGGACATCCTAAGACAGTGATGGTGAACCTTTTGAGCTCGGTGTGTCAGCATTTTGAAAAACCCTACCAACTCTGGTGCCGTGTCACATATAGAAATTTTTTGATATTTGCAACCATAGTAAAACAAAGACTTATATTTTTTATATTTATTTTATATATTTAAATGCCATTTAACAAAGGAAAATCAACCAAAAAAATGTGTCATAGGTTCGCCATCATTGTCCTAAGAAGTACTCTGAAATAAAAGCACTCAGAAATCTGACATATCTATGTTCTCACTTCATAAATTTCCAGGCCAGTTTGTTTGTTTGTTTGTTTAACTTCAGGGAAAGCTTGTATAATGGGAATCAACCACCACATCTGTAACTTGCCTAACATAATTAGGATATTGCTGTGGTATTCAAACATTTCCTTTCTCTAGCCTCCCTAAAGGCTGTGGCATTAGCACTGCAAACTTTCCCACTCTCTCCCGTCTGCCCGGAGCATTCATCATTCACTCCATCCATCCTATGGACGGTCAGAGAGTCCTGTCTCACAATCAAGTCTCTCCCCCACAGAATCTCCGTGGACCTCAACTCCCTTGGGAAACCTAGGAAATATCAGTCTTCCAAAGGCAAAGGATAGAAGTGGGCGCCGTTCTTCAAGTCTTCAAACAGTCCTGGCAAACTCCTCATTGAGTGAATTTGTTTTGTCACAACCACAATCCATCAGAAAATAGTACTTAAAATCAAACTTCCTGGCACTGGAGAATATACATTTTATTTAAGAATGGTCTTCCTTTGGCATATGAAAAATAGCTGCTAATGACAAGAAAGAAAATTGCATAAGCTGTGAGAAGAAAATTCAATTTGCCTTAAGTGAGGCTCATTATGGAATATTCCTCTCACACCCACAATGGAGGCTGTCAATGTGTAAAGTTTAAAACCCATGCAAGGAGTTTATAGAGGCTCCTTACATCATACAGTGCAGCTTTGCCACCACCGATCTGCCACTTTGCTCTCATAGATCCAATCTTTGGTACCAAATCCTTCATTCTACTCGTAACCGTCATCTCCTAGTGAGGCCAAAATCCTATTATAAACATTGCTGAACCCAACCCGTGGGTGTGTGCCAGAGATACAGAGTTCCTTAGTAAAAGCCACCATTAAAATATCAAAAGTACAGAGAGTATATGTCATTTCTTTGGCTGCTTTCCTTTTATTTCTTTTCATTTATATGTACATGGGCCCAATTTTATTTTATAGATGCCTAAGCATTTTGAATATACATGTACAAATGTGAATAATGAACAAATTCCTTACCAAAAATCTTGTCCTATTTAGGAAGTATTGTATTGTGATTAGTGAACACATTGTCATTGAAACTGAAACTCTATTTTTAAAAATGCACTTCATAAAGTCTGAACAAAGCTTTAAAATGCCTTAGGGAAAAATAAAATTAGAAGCAACTTAGTATTTTCCCAGTTGGTATGTCTCCTGAGATTAGTATAATATGCAGCCGTTTCAAAAACAATGTTACATTTTACAAGTAAATGAAATGATACTGAATAGAAAATATATTTAAGGACAAGTCTAAACTTCAAAACCACTATTGGCTATCTTGATTGTTAAGAAAAAATCTTGATACAAAGAAACAGATGACATGCTTTTTTTCATGCCTGGGAATCAGTGTACTTATTTCATATATATGTAAATTTTTTTTCATTACGTGAGTCTTTGCTCACAAGAACTTAATCACAGCCACATTTGTTGGATGAAAAAGCATATGAGAAACTGTATGAGCTATTTCCATGCAATATTACTTTTCAGGTTAGCGGAGGCAATTCAGACTGAACAATGTGAACTCTCCAGGGTGACGTGGGATCAGTGTTACTTGACAGTTGGATGATGTTAACACTGACAATCTGACACGTACAAAAAATCTATACATTGATTCAGCTTGCATTTGGGATTGAAAAATATTAGACACACACACACACACTCACACCCACACACACCCTTATTCCTAAATAACAAAATGACAAACGTGACACATTTTCCACTACAACCCACCCAAAATATAGCCAGTAACTTCACTGTCTGACTTATACCCAAAATATATATTAGAAATATAGAAGAATTTAACGTGGGCCATCAAATGATTCTTTCAATTCATAGTAGCTGGGAGACTTTTACGTTAACTCTAAATGTCTCTTTAAAAAAAATATAAGGGCAAACAATATAAGCAAGAGAAAATTCAACATTTATTTTTTTAATTAAGTACTGTGTCTCTTAATTTTGGAAAAAAAGAACAATAGTAAAGTGGTAAAATGGGACAATAAAATGCTATAGGACCACTATCAAATTATCTTAAAAACATTCAGAAAACATATTCTTAGAACAAATATTGACTTAAAATAGCAATGTTAAAAGGTAGCATTTATCTTTTTATTAATCTCAGTGAAAAAAAATGCTACCGCATTTTCAACTTAAAGGGTCCTCCCTATCATTTAATTCCCATCCTCTTGTCCTGCTTCCCATGAAAATAAGTTGTTGGGTCAGAGGTGAAAGGACATGTGTTCCAACGCTTTCTGTCAGGCTGGAATTAGGCATTTCCATTATCTCCAAACATTGCCCCCTATCTACTTTGTTCTAGAGGAGCTCAAAATGGGTCTTGTGACTCTAAAATAAGAGATTCAAAGGCAACAGCAGATGCCGCACTCTTTGGAGGCGGGACACTGAGGCACCTCAGACCTCACTTTTCTTCCAGGTGCCTGCTCTAAACGTCCCAGCATCGACGGTCCCAGCAGGGCCTCCTGGAGATCTGGCTCCACCATCTCCTTCCCAGCCTCAGTGGCTCAGAAAACCAGTCCTTCTCCCCCTCACCCTTTTGCTGTTTTAAGTTAGTACTCGTTTAGAGAGGTCTTTCCGGCCAGAATGAGTTGCTCCAAGCACACACTACTAGATCAAGCAAGCAACAATTGCTTTGCCGCTACAGTAAGAAAAGATGTCAGTAAATATGTTACTACTCAGCATAATTTTCTTTTTCTTTTTTAAATCTATTTTTATTGCTTTCAGAGAGAAAGAGATAGAAACATCAATGGTGAGAGAGAAACATCAATTTTCTGCCTCCTGCACGCCTGCTACTGGGGATTGAGCCCACAATCCGGACATGTGCCCTGACGGGGAATTGAACTGTGATATCCTCGTTCATAGTCGATGCTCAACCACTGAGCCACACTGGCCGGGCTCAGCATGGTTTTTAAATCAGTGATTTATTTTGCTATGGCTCAACTTAACGTCTCCCCTTTCCTACACACACACACACACACACACACACACACAAACACACACACACTTTCTGTAATATTATTGGGGCACTGAGATCAATACATAGACATATTTGAAGCTGATGTTTCTATTTGGATGGGGATAAGGGGACAATGGGACTCATTAGATTTTCTTAACTGAGATGCCTTATTCAATCACTGCTAGAATTGAATTTGTAGTGAAATATGAGGGAATTGATATTATATCATGCCAAAATACAAATATTTCTTGTCAATTGTTTGCCTAACAGCTGCAAAACACCTAAACAGGACTTTCCTCACACCATCAAGATACACAAAGTATAACAATTATTCCATTATTAGCTGACATTCTATTCTTGTCTAAAGATTTACTGTGTAATATATTCTGCAATCAAACATAATTCAGTTTTAAATTCCTTTGTAGCACTATAGCACTTGTGTGGCACTGTAAAAATTTCATGCCATAAATTAGACCCTATAATTTAATGCAGCTGGTCAGCAGCTCCTGCATAAAGTATTACCACAATGGCCATCAACGCTGTCAATAGCCTTGAGTACCTACTGTGTCCAACACACTGTGCTTTTGCCAGAAATGCAAACTTCTACACACAATGTTTCTGTATAAAGACCCAAGGTTGGTGTTTTATGTGCAAAATGAGTGGACACAAGAAAAAGAGAAAATGCACCTGACCTTCAGTTAGCTCCTTGCATCAAACCCTATGCCAGGTTCTCCACATACATTATTAAAAACTATGTATTATAACCCCAGGAAATGGATATCAATAAACACATATTATATAGGCAAAGTTGAGCCCAGAGAGATTTTAAGTAATTAATTCCAAATCACATTGCAACCAGACAGTAAGAAAGCTCAAACTTAAACCCAAAACAAATAGAACCCAAAGACTGCATTAACCAAACCTGTATGACTTAGGCAATTAATCCAAAACTCCCCATAACTCTCTTTGCTAGACATGGGGGGTCTCAATTTATTACACCTTTTTTTAAGATATTATTTTCTAAACCTTTATTTTGTGAATCTATAAATTGTATCCAAGTTATGTTTGGTTTATCTAAGAATGACTGAATCACAACAAGAAACAACGGAATCACAACTAGAAACAACAATGGCAAAGTTCTATTCACAAATGGGAAGTAAATAATACATCTGAAATCACAGAACTTTACAGAGAAAAGATTTCAGTACTCACTTAATTCAACCCCCTTATTTTACAAATAACAAAACTGTAATCAATGATTTCATACAAGGTATTGCTAATAAATTCTCCATTGAGGACACTTTTGTTTTCTAATCTGGGGTACATGGTATGAACTTGGTTTATCTAATCATTCAATTCATATTTATCCCAGATCTTCTTTATAGAAATGCATTATCCCAAGTGTTAGGGAAATAATTAGTGGGAGATGGAGAAACGGCAGCCAAAGAGCACAGCGTGTCTGCCTGTGCTACTCTGGTAAACTGACATAAACAACTCTAAAGATTCTTGTTTCTGCCCCTCACTTTTCATTGCATTCCACACCCACCAGCATTTTACTTTGCATTAAACATTCTAAATGCAGTCTTTACTCAGGGTCTTCGCACTGGATGTTCCCTCTGCCTCACATAATCTTCCCCTGGATATTCATGTGGTGCAGAGCACTCTCTCTTCCTTCAGATGTATGCTCAGATACAATGGTCTTAGAGAGAACATCTATTATTACCCTAATTCCCTTGGGTTCCACTGCACATTTGTTACCTGTCTCTTTCACTAATAAGCTCCATGAGTGTAGAGCCTTAGACTCTCCTGTGCACTGATATAGTCATTCTACCTAGAACATTGTAAGACCCTAATAAAGATGTGCTGTGTGAGTCAATGAATAAAAGAGGAGATAGATTGGAAAGCCAAATTTAAAATAATGCCAAGAAAATTGTAACAATAGTTACTAAAACATTACCTTATTTACCCTCTCCATACTGAAATTTGATATCTGCCCAAATGTCTTCTCTATTCAGTCATGCATATTACAGAAAAAAAAAAACACTGAACTGTAGAGTTTTTGCATATATACTATACCTCACTTAAAACTATCCTAGTTATAATACTATAGTATAGACAATTATGCTCACATATAGCTATAATTTTGGGCTCTTGTTCCTGCATCCCAGGTTAAATGATTACTAGGGTTGCCTATGCCAGTATTCTAAAAGAAATAGGCACTGTGTTTATTACTCTCCTAGCAAAAAATATGTCGATAGGATCTATTATTGATATAACAAACTATTAAAGTCAACTAATTCATTAAAGTTTTCTTATTTTTACCCTTTCCAAATTATTAAATGTATTCACCATGTACTATCAAGAAGAACATTGGTTGGTTACATAACATCTTACGTTTCCAAGGACTAAGTTCTCAGTTCTGTGGGAAGTCTGTAATATGTATTAATCAAATAAGCAGTTATGATTCCCAATCCATCTCTGTCAAGACTCAGTCACTTGAATTTGTATTCCTCCTTCTGGTTATAGTCACTGCTTATCTTAGTATTCTTCTTATTTACAGGAAGAGAGGGAAGGAGGGAGGGAGGGTGAAAGGGAGGGAGGGTGGAAGGGAGAGAGGGAGGGAGGGAGGGAGGGAGGGAGGGAGGGAGGGAGGTGTCACCCTATCTACAGATCAGGCCCAGCAATTTCATATGGCCAAAATTTCCCCTACAAAGGAGCAGAACCATTCCTCTGATGCTGAGAGGAGACCAACCACTCATCACCTCTCACCTGCCCCAACCACAGGTAGCCTTTCCTCATCATAGGATCACCTGCAGCACTTGTTAAAGTGTGATTCCCAAAGCCTTCCTTTAGAAACATTGATTCAGTAGGACTGAGTTAGGTGGCCTGCAATCTGTGTTTATAACAGCCCCCAATCAATGATTATCAAATGGGAGCCTGCATCTGAATCACTGGGAGGGCTGGTTAAAACACAAATTACCCCTGAGTTTCTGGTTCAGTAGGTCTGGGGTGTGGTCCAGGAACCTGCATTTCTAATAAGCTCCTGTGTGAGGCCAATGTCCCTCATCCTGGAAACCACACTTTGAGAGCCATTTGACTGATGCTTCAAATAACCTAGTGAGTTCAGAAAAAAAGTCCATAACACATTTCTCTAAAACTATCACTGGAATGATGTATTATTTTTTTCTCTAGCCTTGTAATTATCCCAATTAAGATGTCCCAATTTTCAGTGAGCTAGCAATCAGATTCAAACACACCTCTGTGACTTCTATACAGAGAGAAATAAAGAAGAGAATGCCCAATCTACTGTTCTACTTCACCGAGGTCCAAACCATGTAGATATAGTCAGTAATGTCTGGATTGTACAGGACAAAGAGTTAATACACAACAAAGCAGGACAGGGAAAGCTATCGAGAGAACAGAGACGGCTTTCAAAGTTGGTATTCCTGGGCCAGACGCAGATCTCTGCTATGTCACCACGTAGCACCTAGTGGAATGAGCAAGAGCTAATTTTTAAAAGCTGATCCAGGCACGCCTGTTATTTAGACATCCAAATTGGGCCATGGGGGCTTAAGGAATGGTGCCTCGCGGCTAGATCCGGCCACTATAAACTCCGGCTGGTTGCATCACTATTTTCCATGAGGAATTTAAGGGGTGTGACTGCATCTTTTCCAACCCTGCATTCCACATGTGACAAAACTGATCCAGCTGTTTGTCTGAAAGAAATTCCTTGCTGTCCTTAAAAATTAAAAAGCAAGTGGATATCCGTCCTTCAGGGGCAAATCTCCAGCTGGAAACTGGTACAGGCAGTTGCGAAACAGAGACAGGGCCCTGGAGAGCATCTGCTTTTAAATTCTTACCTCGCCATAGGGGGGTTAGCCCCATCTTGCTTTTTGTAATGGCAGATTCTGGATGGAGGGTGCTGGCTTGGCCCAAAGCTCTTGAGAAGTGTTCATCCACTACTGACCCAATGTCTCCCTGGAAATAAGTGAAAAGGACACAGCGAGAGTTAAGGTACTCCATCTCGGCAGGCTGGTCTTTCTCCTCCTCCTCCTCCTCCTCATCCTCCTCCTCCTCCTCCTCTTGTTTGCTGGGAAGGGTGACTTCCAGAGAGTCCTGCATCTTGCTGTATACCGCTAACTTTTTCTGGGATGGAATAAACAAAACACAGTATCAAAGACAGTTTGTAAAAAAGCATTAACTATTTAACCTTTCAATTAAAAAAAATATATATATATATATATTAACATATATTCTTAAACTGATTCTTCATCTGCTTTACCCCATCTTTCCCTTCCCCAAACCAACCTTCTCCTTCCCACCCTCAAAAAAATATATTTCAAATTTAAAAGAAAAATTAAAGTCCTTTATCAAATTGTATATTTCCAGAGTGTGAAAGTTTTTTGTTAATCTAGATATACCAAAAGAAGGATGACTTCACAAAAAACAAACAAACAAAGACAGATTCCTTCCCCATTTTTCTTCCACTTTTTATTTTAAACATTTAGCGTATGGCAACTCTATAGTTTGGGACATGGAGAAATGGGGATAGAGGCCTAATTATCTGAGGGTGGGGTGGAGGAGAAAAGAACTTTCCATAAATGAAATAAACTAAAATAAAAACAGGAATGTAGCATCTTATAAAAGGATTTGGCAGATGTGCCCAAGTCATTTCTCAAAAATCAAACTAAAATGACAAAATAAGTCTGTGTGAAGATCCATTTTGCATGGAACATATTTTTCAGATGTTCCACTTACCACCATTATCATAGAGGGAAAAAGGGTATTGTTGTGGCTTACAGAAAATAATACAAGATGCTAGCAATGGCTAGTGTGGCTTTCAAATAAAAATGAGAACATTTGGATGATTTTAAAACATTTTTAAACATATAATAATAGTGATACTAATAGTTAAAATATTATGCCAGACACTTACAAAACTTTATACTTATTAATTGCCCCACTTAATCCTTACAATTCTATAATGCAGTTATTGCTATTCTCCACATTTTAAACATGAAGAAACAAAAGCACAGAGAAGTGAAGTAAACTGCCAAAGCTCACCGAGCATGTAAGTGGTGGAGTCAGAATGTGTAATAAAAATATGCGGATTTACATATCTGTGTACATGTATGTGCTGGAGAAGAGCATGGGAGGGGTATCTACTGTGGGAATAAAAATTGCAAAAATGTACTTTGTATTGTTTTTCTGTCTGGTAAGTTTTTCGTTGTTATTTTCTTATTCTTGCTTTTCAGTATTTCCAAACATTTGTCATCGAACATGCATTACTTTTATTATCAACAACTTTAATGTGAACTAGATACAAGGAGATAATGCTGAAGATTATAAAATTCATTATCCTAATGACAGAATGAGCATTCTATCATCTATATACCTGTAAAACTTGATCCTTTGTCATGCTGTGTTTTTAATTTCAGAAAAAATTGCATGCTGGAAAATAAATGTGAGTAGAAAAAATAAATCATTCTAGAAAACTCACTAATCACTGAGTTTTTATAACAAATGTTATCACAACATCTAACTCCAACTCTTATGTTTCTAAGCTTCAAAATTTGTAGCCACAAATTATAAATGCTTCATTCAATAAACTAAACTCTTTCCCCTAGCAGTGAATATGTTGTTCTTGCATGAGGTAAGTCCTGAAATGTTCAGGTATATTATGAGCAACTGCTTGTTATTTTGGGGCTGCTATAAATATGTGTATTTATAAATATGTGTATTGATTTTGTGTTTAAAATATGTATCAATATAATTAGCACTTTGATTATCTATTGATAAGTAGATAATTCATTCCTTGTGAGTGTATATGTTCTGCTGGTGAATAGGTGGTTGTAATGATTGAGTGGTTATATTTCTTATAGTCTCTTTGCACAGATTTGAACATGTTTATAGCTAACTCCATTAGTAAAAACACCACAGTAGCATAAGTTATATATAAAATGAGGGACAGATGGTCCCGCTATGCCAAGGTTACAGGTTCAATCCTCTGTCAGGGTGCATACAAGAAGCAACCAATGAAAACATAAGTGGTTGGAACAACAAATCGATCTTTCTCTCTCTTCCTCTCTCTCTAAAATCAATCAATAAATAAAAAAAAATAAGTGAGGGGATTGATCTAAATGGCCTCTAAAGTTACTCCTAACTTTAAATTCTGTTATAAAATTAAATGAATATTATGATTTGTTAGTCAAATCACAGTCCTGTTTCTCTGGGCACATGTGCATTTACTCGAAGTCATACCACGATAAGCATATACACACACTCTTTGCCTAATTCTTTGGCATATTAGAAAGAAGCAGTTTTTATATGGGAAGGAAATTAAAACTAATCTACAGAGTAGCTTCACTGTCCACAAGAGTTCATTATTATCTATGAAGTTGATTTTAATTTTCTGTTAATGTCCAGTTCAGCCTTAGTTTGTGAGAATTGAGTTTCATAGTTATTTCATTTGTTTTCATCCTGGCTGTGTTAATTACCAAAAGAAGGCAATGCATTATTTTATCTCAATTAGCAATCAATTATGAGATGAAATAAAATTAAATTGGTACATATGTAAAAATGTTTAAATTGCAAATCCTAATATAAATGTAGTGGAGTATTATGACCTATACCAATAATATATTTTTTAATTTTTTAATTGATAGTAGTTGAATTTAGAGTATACATTTACTATTTATTTAAAATGATAGAATTTGATCATTGAAAACTAATTTTATGTTTTCCTTTTTAAACCATTGTTGAATGGCTGGATACAAATAAATAAATCTAAAAATTACATACTTTTCAATATAAAATGAGGAAAACAGCAAAATCTGCTACCCTATCATAATGCCTTTTATTAATCTATTTTCTAAAAATCATTATTTTGTTGATGGACACATTGATTCCCTATATTTTTATATATCATATAAATGTAATATGTCTGCCTATGCACATATGCATTTATATGAATATATACTAATATATTATTCCTTTTGATATGCAAACACCTGTGATTCTACTAAAATGTCTATATTGACTCCTCTATGTAAGTAAAAATGTTTGGAACTATTATAAAATATACTTCTTTTTTTGTTATTATTCTCCCAACTCTTTAAGGCAAGTCTACTAATTACATAAATTTGACTGGAGACTATCAAAGAAATAAAATGAAATGGGAGCCTATGGCATATTTACCAATAAGGAATAAAAGAGGCATACCTATCTTTCATTCCCTCTTACACATTTTTCAGATTAAAATTGGGGCAATTTTCACAAATTAGTGTGAATCAATTTAAACATTTACATTTACAACACACACACACACACACACACACACACATTTTATAGCCTTACCACCAACATCAATGTTTAAAGGGAAAATTCTAAAGTATCCAAATGGCCTGATAGCTACCTAAAATGCTAACATTTAATTTGCATACATTTTTCAAACATTGAGTCTGAGCATGAAGAAAATAGAACAGAATTTAAACAGCAATGGATCGATATGCTGACATTCACAACATCCTAATGTTCTTCTGCATGGACTCCAGCCTCAGCTACTTTCCGTGACCTATGCTTTAGAGTCTAAGTTAGACTGTAAATCAATCATTTGCCCTTTTTTAAAACTATGTTACTCGTGTGCACTTTTCCGTATCACTTTGGTGTTTGTTCCCTGGAATGAAACTTTCTTAGTGTTATCTCCTTTCTTGAGAATATAGAAAGTTCAAAATGTTGAGAATAAATCTCAAATCATCAAAACCTAGATTTCTTGAAACAACATTGAAAAGCAATCTAGTTCATAGTTTTCTCAAAACGCATAACCATTCCCTAAAAAGAGTCAAATCTCTCAGAAATGTTCTTGCTCTTCTTATGAAACCCTGAAGAATGGTTAGCAAAAATAAAGAACCCATCCAAAGGGACCTCAAAAACTACAAGCTGGTTTATTTAATGCACATTAACTGGCTCATCTCCATCTCAGAGTAATGGCTATTGTCCAGGTAAAATGACACTCAAGGAAAGGGAAACAACGAGCACGTTAATAGCCACAGAGCTGAGGCTAAGTCAGGAGGAGGTGAAGGAGCCGGTGAAGGAGGCGCTGGGCAGTGCGAACGTACCCAGCCACCTCGCAGCCTGCCATGAGGCGCAACAGAAACAAACTTGCACAGGAATGTGCAGGGGAAAGGGTTTGTCTGACAAGAGAAAGACTTCCATGTCAGGAGCCAAATACCACTAACTCCCCAAGGCTTAAGCCTAAGAAAAGCCAAATGATTACTGTGCATATGTGGAAACTTTTTTCCTAAGGAAACAAAAGTATTTTAATGAATCATTGGATATTTTGAAACAGCTTTTTGCTTTTCTTCTTCTTCTTTTTTTTTACTTTCGACTGGCTATCTTTTCTAAATGCAACAATTTTATGTCCAAAATATGCTTTGGGTATATAAGAGTAACCTATAATACTAGCCAGAAGTAACTGTTTCAAAATTGTAAAGTCCATAGAAATAGCACATTGCTCTTTGATCATATTTTTCTGAATTCACTTGAATAACAGATTTTAAAAAAATATCTCAGACAGACATGAAATTTTGATCCTTAGCCTATTTGGAAGGGGAGGAATCAGGTTATGGGTGGGTGGGTCAGGAGAAGGGTGATATGCCACAAATTTTCATATTTTTGACTAACTCTCTCAAACACATTTTGAATAATTATTCCCAATTTACATATGCAAAAACTGAATTACTTGGCTAGGGTCACCTAACTACTAAATAGCAGAGATAGAACTAGAACCTACTTCTAACTACCTACAAAGCATGTACCGAGAAAATAGACAGCAGGAAATGAGTCTCTATAGGATATTTATTTTTAATTGAATAGGAAAACAGATGCCCGGAGTCAGCATGGCATCACATGCTAAGCAAGGAGAGTCTAAAGTTATCTATAACATTAAAACAATTAGTAAACATGTATCAGAAGTATGGCTATTAAGAAATGCAGTATTCTTCATTATATACTAGTATATTGATGAAACTGAACTTCTATATCTAAACATGTATTGTCCCCTTGACCAGTCAGATAGATAATGCAATTGCTTACCATATTTCTGGAAGTCTTTTTGGGAACAGTGCTTCACAAACAGCCAGTTTGTG